GCAGTGAAATGTGCCCTGACCACCCAGCTGTGCGGTATGTATTGGGGAGGATATGCACATGAAATGGTTTTGACCTTGGAGACCTTTATCCAGCTATGAGGACAGAAAAAAGACAAACTTTGAGAGGAAACGTAAAGAGTTAAGAGAACAAATACATCAAGGTACATTGGAGATTTGGAGAGGGTTTCTACAGGGGCTAAGTGCATTCCAACTGGGCATGAAAAGGGGGAATTTGAGAGGGCAGTGGAAGGGAGACGGAATTAGTTTGACCTGTCCAGGGGTGCCGGGGAGAAGGCCAGGCTTTCTGGAGATGGGCTCTTGCATGCTAACTGGCTGTTCCTAGTAGATGAGTGCGCTGCTTGCTCCCACGGTTGCCTCTTAGGATATTTTTCTACCTGCGGAGTCATATAAAATCATACAGGAAGTTTCTGGGACACTAGTTTGAGTTTCAAGTCTGAGAAAGCCTAGTTTCCATGAAATGTTTAGCTAAATTAACTTCCTTGGCGGTTAAGAGCCAAGCAGGTAGACCCTTCAGCCACTAGGGTTCCTAAATTAACTCTTCTTTTACATTTCTAAATGATTGGAGAGAAACGTTGACAATTGTGCTCAACTGCTAACCTAAAGGTTGTTGGTTCAAACCCACAAGCTGCTTCATGGGAAAAAGATTAGGCAGTCTGCTTCCATAAAGATTTATAGCCTTGGAAACCCTATGGGGCAGGTCAACTCTGTCCTATAGGATATGTATGAGTGAGCGCCAATGCACTGACAATGGGTTCTAGTTTGGACAGGCTGCTATGCCCTGCATCTTCCCTGGACCTAGTGCAGGCAGCCTCCTGGGACACTTCAGTGCCCACACTACTCCCTTAACTGTGAGGCACTGGGGGCACACCTGCTGTAGTCCCCCAAATCACAGAAGGTTCCCTAAATGCTGCCATGCTGGATTCTACACAAATGAAAGGATCCCAGGCCACCTAGGAGGCCCACCATGGCTTCTCTGCCCAAACCGACTCATAGGGAAATTCTGGCTCTAGCCCCGAGGGCAGCCACAGCCACGCCACCTAACAGCCGTGTCTGGAGTCACAGAGCTGGGCTTCAGTCTCAACTGGCTTCTCAGTCAGGAAAATACATTTCCCCCCTCCGTCTTTTTCTCTCGCTAGTACTTGGTGTTTGTTCTGACTTGGAAATGGCATACTCTGAGTTCAGGGTGAGCCAAAGGTTTGTTCTTGGTCTGTCAAGCTACTTTGATGATGGGACTGAAATTCTGGAGAAGAGCAAGCCAGCTGGATAGGAAACAAAGCCACAGGCCTGTGGTGGGCTTGGGGAATTTTTCTCTACCCCCAAATGGAAAAATCCTGGTATGGGGCATTGTATATGAAGATTGATAGTGTTTGA